GCCAACAAGGTCTAGAATAACATTTCAATTCTGGGCTCCATTTTTTAATAGGGGAACTGGCCGCCTGGATCACACTCAGGAGAAGAGTGATTAGGATGGTGAATAAACCACCAATAGTGAAAAATGTTTATCTTGGGGAAGATGAAAGATATTGAGAATTTGAAGAACTGTCAGCAACATAATTACATGACATTATTTCAGAAGACAGAATAAGGACAAATGGGCAGGAGTTCAGGATGTCATATTTCTTTTTTTTTTTTTTCCTTTTTGTCTTTTTTCGTGACCGGCAATGGATCGCAACCCTCAGTGTCGTGCCCGTACCGGACCGGGACCAGCTACGGGATCGCAACCCTCGGTGTTGCTCCCGCACCTCGCTCAGCCAGTGAGCGGGAACCGGTCTGTATGTGGGATCCGAACCCTCAGCGGGAGCGCCGCCGCACTCCCAAGCGGTGCACTGTAGCAGTGCGCCACCGGGCCGGCCCCCAGGATGTCATATTTCATATGCTGATCTAAACTGGGAAGGCCCAACTCACCGTCGTCTTTGAAAGAGGTAGGGAGGGCATCCCTCAGCAACCTTGCAGAAGGGTTTTGGGCTTTGGGTGGAAGGTCAAAATTGATCACCTCTGAGTTTTGTTCTCACTCTGGGAGTCTGTGATTTTGGCCTCTGTTACTTGCATTAGTTCCATCTCAAGCTTTTTCATTTCTCTCTACCTAAAAGGAATGGTCAGTACTGTTTTGACTGGAAAAAAGTTCATCTAATCCCATACCAACAATGATGTTCAACCCTATAAAGGTAGCAATACTAGAAGTCCTCAGAGCTTCCACTTAGAATAGGGTCAAAATGTCTAATCATGAGAATGGCTACTTCCTTGGGCATGTAACTTGTGCCAGGCACTGTAGTAATTCTTCTTAAAGATTATTTCACTTAATTCTCATAACAAACCTATGAGATAAGGGCTATTATTACCCCAATTTAACAAATGCAGAGATGGAGGCCCACAGAGGTTAACTAACTTGCCCAAGGTCACACAACTAGTAAATGGTGGAACCAGGCTTCAAACCAGTGGTCTGATGGCAAGGTCCACTTTCTCAACTGTAGCACTGGGCCGCTTCTATAAGCTGACTACCTGCCTTTATTTTGAACTGGGAGTCAAAATAACTTCTCACTAGGAATAGCAACCATGGACCACTGGCAAGAGTGAGTGGGAGGGGGATGGAGAGAAATGAGAGGAAGCATGCTGAGTAGAACTGGAGCTCTGGGAGCCCAGCACTCAGAGCTCTCAGAAGCCTAAGCAATTAGCAGCGCGTTGATTTCATTGTGCTATCTAGGGCACAGCTCTGTTTCTGGTAATTTGATGGAAATATATGCATGGAGCACTTGTTGCTTCAGAGACACACAAGAATGCTCTCAAAGCAAAAGGAGAAGAAAATACCAGCCGCATGGATCAGGCACAGGAAACCAAGCCCACAGTGGGAATGCTAACTGTTCAAAAGCCTCCGAACAGTGGGCCCTTCTTGGCTGAGGTCCATTTGTCCTGGAGGAGTCTTGGTGAGCTTCAGTGGGGGAGAGAGCTTAGCCATGTTTCTTTAATAGTTCAAGGAGTTAGTCTGTCTATCCAGCTCAGAGGATGGCTGGGGTGCTATTGAGGACATGCCTCTTAATTTTTTTTAAAAAGAGAATAAGCTCCTTCTAGTTCTGAGATTTGATGTTTCTGTCTGAAACTCAGTCCAACATGGCTGATGGTGGGTGATGGTTTTTGACAATCCTGGTGTCACTCCATTGCCAACTGTTGTAAACCGTCATAGGCTCATATCTGTAATTTTATCTGGTTAAAATAACAATTATTCACTTCAGGACAGGGACTCAGTAGTAAAGGCAGCCTGTGATCAGAAAGTCCCCCAGACTGTTGTCACTGCCTGGAAGCCTGTTTTCCTCTCTGGACAGCCTTCATCAGTGACTGCAGTGATGTACTCTCGCCATCTTTCCATTACCCTGGTGGCCCCTAATTATAGATCAAGGGGCTGTGTGAGATTTTTTTTTTCTCAAGATTTAATGACTAGTGGTGTGTGGCCAGGGGCAGACCTCGATTTTGTGGGACCTCGAAGCTCTCTTTAATAAAAAGAATCAGAATTTTGAGTACCAAATTAGACACAGGGACTTGAAAGAGGCTTGTGCAAGTGAGGGGTCCTGAAACTTAAGTTTCATTCCCTTGACAGTAAGTGACCATGTGACGCTAGATCTGTGTTCTAGTCTGGGCACGGCTCTGAACTACCTGTGGGATCTTGGGAAAAGCACTTCCTCCCTCCCTCTGGGCTTCAGATCCTCATCTATAAAATAAACTAGGTTATTTTAAGATCCCTTCCAGCTTGTACCTTCTGAGTTCAGCAGGGTCACCAGCTTCCAGATACCAGGGGCAGCAAATTCAGAGTTAGTGGAGTTCCAGGAAGGATAGTTTTTTCCTTTGTGAAATGAATGGGTCAGACATGTTGTCTTCTAGGGATGTTGTCCAGTTCTAATGTTCTATGTAAAAGTTTGTATTTCTGTCTGCATCTTCCTCTAGCCAGCTGGGCCAGTGTCTCTGTGTGCGTGCGTCCTCACTGGAAGCTGCAGGTTTATAAAACAAAGCACCCCTTCTGAACAGCAAGGCAGCTGCATATTTAGTTTCTCTGGAGCACTTTATTTTGAGAGAAACTAAGTGTGCCTTTAACGTTGATGTCAACATAGGCAGCGTGCCAAAATTAGACAAGGAAGAAACCCACTAACTGAAAGCCTTTGGAGAGCAAAGAACTAGGCAGCAGAGGCCAACCCCAACCCTTCTCCTTAGCTTTGTCGCAGGCAGGAAGCTCAATACTCTGTGCCAGATGTTTCAACAAGAGCTAGATCCTAAATATGAATCTGTGGAGTGGGTCATAGTGGAAACTAATCTTGATTAAGACTCAGACATTGGCCATTTTACTATTGACCTTGTCTCAGTTTGCTCAACGGCAAAATAAGAAGGTTGGCAGTATATCCTTGTGGCACCTTTCAGCTCATCTATCCAGTCTATGAATCTGACTTACTGCTGCATCTAGTCTTTAAAGATGTTTAAATCTAATCCAAACTTACACCTCAGCTTGAAATCAGACAGGGCTCTGCATAGAGCGTGGGGAAGAGTAAGTCCCGAGCAAGCATCCCACATCTAGTCTTTAAAGATGTTTAAATCTAATCCAAACTTACACCTCAGCTTGAAATCAGACAAGGCTCTGCATAGAGCGTGGGGAAGAGTAAGTCCCGAGCAAGCATCCCATCATCTCTTGGAAAGCCCAAAGGGCAGTAAAGGGAACCTGGAGACCACTTACAGTGTAGAAGTTGAGAGACAACTGGCTTTCAAATGTGCCCGTGCTCCCGTTCTTCACGTGAACGGTGGCCACTCTGAAAAGGGGAGAGAATTTTGCATAAGGACTGAAACATGCCTGATTGACAGGGACTGCAGTGCACACGCAAGGCAGCCAGCCCTCCACTCCTCAGAGCAACTTACCTCTGGTCAAAGGCAGCCTGGTTTACCAGGTAGGTGGAGTGGTAGGTGCAGGAGAAGGAGTAGTTGACAGGCTGGTTTTTCACGATCACCGTGCTGTCATTGGAAACAATGTGGCTGTAGAAGTGGTAGATGGGCGGCTTGTACTGGAGAAAGGAAGAAGGCGGTCAGGGTGGCCCCAGGCTCCCACGACGGGAACAAGGGTTCTGGGAAAATGGATAAAGACAGCTTAGAAAAAAGCCCAATGGGGAGACACGAGTATCTGTCATTGATAGTAGCACCCACTCTTTTATCTGTGGGTGAGCTGATCATTTTCAGAAAGAGTCCTCGAGTCCGTTCAACTAAGATTGTTTAAAATAATCTAGGTTGATGTTGTACGTTTAAAAAAATCCACATAGCAATTGGGCTTCTGACCAAAAAATAACTGGCTTGAGAATCTCTATTTTCTAACACAACTTTTTACCCATTTCCCTTGTCCAAGTTTCCTAAGTGAATGCCTTTGCCCATTTCCCAATTCTAGAACATTACTGTCTCATTCTTTGCTCATTCCTTCTTCCAACCATAAGCATTCTTTTTGAGACTCTTTCTTTTGACTTACTGGACTCTAAAATCACAGAATATTAGAGCTGAAAGGGATCTTGAACATCCACTTAAGAAGTGCCTGACCTGAGACCACACAAATGGTTTCTGGTTTGCCTTACCAGGATATACTCAAAAACATGAGGTTTTGTTAATCATGCCCATGACTCTTCCCACTAAATCACTGAATCTTTGTTAGGCCTTTAGGAAGAGGAAGAGGAAGAGGAAGTGGCCCTGGAAGCTTCTGAGCCGCAAAGAAATAGAGTCTTCTGACACTCAAGGCAGTAGGAATGCTGGACTTCAGCAGGAGGGTCAGGAGACCGAGCGTCCCTCACGACTACAACCCTATGGGTTCTGTGGCCCTGCACTAGGGAGATCTCAGATTTCTTCTCCGTCATATAAGGACACTTGGCAAGAGGATGTCTGTGGTTCCTTTCAATTCTCTGATGTCCCGTCCTGGGTACTTCCCAAGACCCAGTTAAGGACTGTGGTATATGTTGGTCACTCCTTTAAAATGCTCTTCCAAATGCACTTTATCACCACTTTAAAGTCTTAGGCAGAGGGTGGCCCTCCCATCCAACCCAGGAAGCACGGCCGCTTCTGAGCACAAGCTCAGAACTCAAAGTGGGCTGGAGGCGGGGAATGCTCTTTGTTTCACTCACAGAAGGCGGCCTCCTGGCTTCAGCAACAAATGAGAATAAACATCAAGCCAAAAGAGTCATCGAAACGAGGCAGAAGAGGAGTTTAAACACCAACATCCCAGAAAATTTGGGAGTCAGGATTGACCTTTAAAAGAAAATTGGTCAATTCTGAATCCTTTTACGATGGACAGCAAACGTCATTCTTGGGCCCTGTCGCCTTGTCTTAAGCAACTCTGCATTACGTGGCCTGGTCTTACCTCAGACTGGGTCCCACAGTAGGACTTGTTTTTAGGTGATAAATCTGGGATTACAAATTGGTAGTAACCTCCTTCTTGGACCCCATTGTAACACAGCCCTCCGAGGGCCAGTTGGTGTAGTTCCCATCCATAGGGACACTCGGGGATTTTGGTGATGATGGTTTTAGGATAACAAAACACGAGAATGACATCTGGAAAGAGCACACACGGTTTGAAATCAAGTGTGGTAATCACATTAATCTACATAGAGAACGATGGATTCCAGCTGCACCCGAACATTCAAAGCAGTTGGTTAAAAACACTTTTCTCACTGTTTTAAACCAGCAGTGATGAAGTTTTTCTCAAACTGCACACATTGAAGTTCCACTTTTATAGCTTTTTTTTTTTTAAAGATGACCGGTAAGGGGATCTTAACCCTTGACTTGGTGTTGTCAGCACCACGCTCAGCCAGTGAGCGAACCGGCCATCCCTATACAGAATCTGAACCCGTGGCCTTGGTGTTATCAGCACCGCACTCTCCCGAGTGAGCTACGGGCCGGCCTCCACTTTTATAGTTTTTGCTACTTTTTAAAATAAATGCACTATACTTGATACGTATTTTAAATTGGTCCACTTTTAAACTTTAACCTTATTTTAAGGAATATGTCTGTAAAACCACAGATTGGATGTATTTTGTATATATATATAAATCCCCATGAAAATGAGCACAACTTAAAATTTAAAAATGTCCATTTCATGCACAGTATTGTGAAACATTGATGTGTAGCACAGGACTGAAATTCAGTAGTCAAATAAAAAAAATGTGCAGATGTTTTAGATACAGATATTGGTATATAGATAGAGAGAGACCATTCTCTAATTTTTAAAAATGTCTAAGTTTATGTAATGCATTTTTGCTCCTTGTGGGAAAAGTCAGCTTGGCACTGGGGGGCTTACATGCTTCTGTTTGGCTACATTATGGCGTTTTCATAACAAGGCGAGCACAGAGATCTGTTCATTGCAAAGGGAAGCTCCAGGAAACTTTCCTTTCCAGGAAAATGGCCTGGCACCAGGGCGTACCTGCTTTGTTTGGAGTGCATGATCTCGCAGAGGCTTCAGCGAAGACGGCCAGTAGGACGAAGGCCCTCATTCCCATTGTTTCTCAGAACCTGGTCTTCTCCAGGTGGCTGAACCAGCTGGCCAAATGTTTATGGTCCTTCCAGCACCTCGATCATTCTAGGTCAGAATCATAAGTGAAAAGTTAACATCATGGTTAAGAACAAAGCAGCCCACCCAGTCTTGGCGGAAATTTCCAAGGGAAATTGACGATACCGTCTCCTGTTCCTAATTGTTCTTTGCTGGTGCTGAGAGGCCAGAAGAGCGGCTCATACCACTGGGAACGTCAACGACCAGAGCGGTTGCTCATGTTCCCCACTGTTTCATTCTCTCTGGGCTGTGGATCTGCCTCTCGGTTGCTCCCCAAATCTCCAGCCCCAGTCCTAGCTCGACCTTATATAGCCCGAGAGTGTAAAAGAAACCAGCTCCAGATAAATCACAATGAGCGTGCATTATCCACTGCAGGGGGAATAAAAAAGATCCTTGCACAATAATCCGATGGGAAGCTCAGTTACCGCTGAGTCTAATTTCTTTTACTTCATAGAGTTGGAAACACTTTTTTTTTTTTAACGATTTCAACCACGATTAGAATAAAAAGTTGGATTTTTTCCCACTGTACAAAAAATAACTGATGGAAGGCAATCTGCACAGCTCCAGGTGACAATTTTCTTTCTTTTATGTCATGCTTTCTTATTTTTATATGTGGGTGGACTAAACTTCGAACTTAAGGAAACTTAAGTTCAGTATTGTTGTACCTGACACTCAAACAAAAAATAGGTTGTTTGTGTTGATGCAAACATTTGAAAGGTTTTTTTTTCTCTGATTTTTAAAAGTAATCTCTGACATCTAGAATTTTATCCTGAAATACAACTTTTAATTGCACATTTTCTAGGCTTCTAGGGCTTTATAAGTCTCCCAGAGCAATGACATTGGAGGAAGGACGTTAGAAAGGCTCTCATAATTCAATCCTTAGCCCAACAAGATCCCACTGAAAACAACAGAAAAAATGCTGCTTCTGTGAAGGTTCTAGCTGTATTACAGGGACACACATAATTTAGTGTTTCAGAAACATTGCGATGTGTTTTATAAGCAATATGTTTATATAATATGGCAGACTTCCCTCATTTCCTTAAAACCTATTATTAAGTTGATGGTATGTTTTACAATGATGGTGTCAAAGAATTAACGAAATAGCCATATGGCAAGCCATTAAAATTTTCTATGACTCAGTTTCCTTCTCTGTAAAATGGAGGCTGTAGCCCTGGGCTGACCTCCCAGGGTAGAAGAACTATGATGTGAAGGCTCTTGTAAACTGTAAAGTGGTAGATAATTAAGTAGATTACATGAAAAGATAACCAACAATATCTGGTAACATGGATGTGTCCTATGAGTTGCTTTTCTTTTTCTTAGAAGTATCACAATGCGTCTCATTGTAGATTTATGTTTCATGTAACTGAAGCATATCTACATTGTACAACACGTATGCAATGTGTTTTATGAATAAAGACCAAATGGACTGAAGAAGAAAGAAGGAGGGAACGTATTAGCTTTTTAGCACTGGGACTGAGTTTAGTGTGGCCTGGAAACATTAGCATATTTATACTGTTCTCCACAGTTTATTCCTGAGCAGAAAAAAAGATCTCACAAGTATGTGTGAATTCTCTGAGTTTCTCTTTCCTAGGACTTAGCTCTGACTCTCTGTGTTTCTTCTTCCCTCTTTTTTATTAAACATTTATTGAGCCCCTTTGGTTCACCCAGCACTTGGCTAAGCCCTGGGAAGACATGGGTGGTTCAGAGGTCATATCTTTCCCTGAGGAATCAGGGGGAGGGCAGGGCACAGAGTGATGGGAATCTGTACTGGAAATGTGAGATGGAGTGGAGGGAAAAGGCAGGATCAGAATGCTTGACAGAGGAAGTAACAAGCCAAGCCAAGTCATCAAAGCCTAGAACAGCCCAAGTGCATAAGGAATGGGCCTTTGATCTGACATAAATGATTATTCATCATGGACATTTCAGTATTCCCCTTCTGCGTGGGTTGGGATTCGGGTTTCCATTTAAAAAGGATTCTTTCACACATCTTCAAATTCTTTTTGGCCAACTTTGGCCCAGGCAGATCAACAGTATCTCTTTATCTCTGACCTAGAAGGGCAGAGTTCACTCATGGAGAGGGTTGCAGTGGAAATGAATGCCTTGTCTGTCTGTCTGTCTGTCTGTCTGTGGAAATGTCTGTGGATGCTGGCCAGAGGCAGCAAGGTGCTGTAGGGGAAGACTGAGCAGTTGGACTCTGCAGTCTGCCTGGAATCTAAAGCCCACCTTGGTCACTTAGCTGTGTGTGCTTGGGCAGCTTACTTAGGTTCTCTGAGCCTTAATTTCCTCCTCTCCTGAAAGGACCTGAGAATATCTATGACATAGCGTTACTCAGAATATTAACTGAGATATATGTCTGTTAGCATGGACATGGCTTATTTGCCTGTATCAGAGCAAGGCACTAGGAAAGTCTTCGTTTCTATGCTTAGTTCTACTTAAGAAATCTGAAAGAAGAGCTTATTCGGAGTCAGTCACCACTAAATAGCATACATTATTGTTGTCAGTGCTGATTTACATCGCGTGTAACTAAGAACACAGGTTATAGAATTAGAAGTCATGGCTCTGTCACATTTCCAATTGCGTGATCTTGGACAAGTAATTTGACCTTTGCAAGCCTTCATTTCCCAAATCTGTGAAATGGGGTTTTCTATCTCCTGTGGTTGTTGCAAGGACATAATGAAATAATCACGTAAATTGCTTAGCACAGTGCCCGGCACACAGGAAGTATGCAACAAAGATTTGCTGCCATAAAGTGCATTTGTCTGAAGTTGGTGTCCTCAGGCTGGAAGGATGTGTCAATAGTGTTCCCATTTGAACTCTGGATGTTTTCTAATGGTAACATTTTTCTCTTTAGAAGCCCACCTCAACAAAAGAGCAGGTGCTTTTGATTTCTAGAGAAGTTTGATAACGATAAGATTCTGGGACAGAGAAAGAGATCTCGCCTACAGTTTCTTGGAGCAAGGATCCAGCTAACAATCAGGTACATGATACTCCTTTCAAGGGCAAGCTGAATGAAGTTGGGGAAGTGGATGCAACTTCTGTGGCAGGCTGGTCTCTAGATGTTTAATTTGCATAAGAAACAGAATGGGACAAAATGTACTTGGGCCAACCAGTATTTGATACGTGCTCTGATAAAAGGCCAGAGGCTCCTATTTTTTCTGATCATTACCCACCATTCTGATGCCCTGCCCTATCCACCTCTTCTCTGCTTTCCAGCACTCCTCTCTTTTCCTGAGATGAAGATGGAGTGAGAGGGGCACCACTGGGAATGGAAGCCAAAGCAAAGTCTCGCACTGAGACCATTGTGATTTCTTCAAACACACAAATAAAACTGCTTGGTAGATCTTAACAGTCCCAGGATCTTGAAAGAGCCCAGTGAAGAGGGTTTTATGGCAGACTCATCAGAAAGATGAGCTTGTCCGTCCTGTATCTTTCTTTTGTTATTCACCAAGTAATAGAAGGTACCTGTTCCATTTGAAGGCTCTGAGGATTTGTGGAAGCTGGCCCAGACACAAAAGTGTTGCCATTTGCAAAATTCCAATCAACATTTTCATTCGTAGCTCAGAAACCATATAGGTGATAAGTCATGTGATAAACACCACCAGTATACTCTTACTGAGGTAACAAATGGTACTTTAAAAATAAAGCTAATAAGCATTCATTAAACTTTAAAAAGTGACTTGATTATCTTATTTTTAAAGCACACTGCTTTGAGTTCATTAAATGTTGAATTTGTTAAATGGACTCTATTGTTTCCTTTAAGCTCTGAATCAAGCCATTTTTTACTTTGTAGGGAACCCTGTGCCAGTTTGCAAATGAGTGGGAGTCCCATCCAGGCTTCAATGGCTCTAACCTCACAGCACTCCCAGGAAAGAATAATTCTCCAGAGAAAGCATAGGAAATACACTTCATAAAGGAGAATGGGTAAGGGAGAAAAGATCTTCTGCTGATAGTGCATCAGAAATTCAGAGCAAGATGCCCTGACACTGCAGCCACCAACTTCAGAGAACGAAATTGCCCCAGGCAGAGAAACTGGCCCTTTAGGAGATCTTCGGAGTCTTTCTTACCTGGCTAATCTCTAAGCAATGACTTGCTTGCTCTCTCCCTCAGCAGAGTAGGACCTACTGTCAGGTCTCCTATCTTACCTGTCTCCTCTCCACCTTCCTCACCTCCACTGGCACTCATAAAGCTGGATAATAAAAGATAGCTCCTCCTCAGATCAAGATTAGTACTGTCAGGTCTCCTATCTTACCTGTCTCCTCTCCACCTTCCTCACCTCCACTGGCACTCAGAAAGCTGGATAATAAAAGATAGCTCCTCCTCAGATCAAGATTACAGATCTCATTACCTGTCTAAAGCATCCGAGGGCAAATAATTTATTCTGTTCTTGAAACTTCGCAGGGAGTCATTTCTGTATTCTGTCTCATTTACCCACTCATTCTTTCACCAACTATGTAATGAGTGTCTGTTATTACCAGGCAGTAATTAAATCTCTCTTTATATCTATAACTATGTCTATATCTATGTCTTCTACTTGAGGAAATTGTAAGGATATTGAGGAAGGACACAAATAACCTTTAGGAATAAAACACAATGGGGCAGAGAAGAAGCATCTACTTTAGACAGCCTGGTCCAGGAAATTTCGTTGAGTCTCAAGAGAGACTTAAGATAGGGCCTGAAGGTGGGGAAAGGTGACAATGGGATGCGTGCATGTGTGCATCCATGTGCATGAGTGCATGTGTATGTAGGGGCAGAGTGTTCTAGGTGGGGGCGTGGCACTTAGGGAGGCTCTGATGCAGGATGAAGACTACACTCACCAACCCTCACACACATTTTTTTGGAAATCTCTTTTCAGTATTTGGTTTCCCAGACACCCAAGCAACTTTTCCTATTTGAATTGAAGTACATTTCCTCTTGCTTAACCTTCCATACTGTGAGAATTTCCATCTTTTTTGGCTAATGCTATTCTCAGTTTTCTTTCTCTTTTTGGCAGATTAGTGGCACTTTGATTATAGATTAATTTAA